TTTAGGGTTCAGGGTTTCGGGGTGTTAGGTTATGTCTGATGTGGGGTTTGAGGATCTCGGGCCGAGTTGAGGGTGTCGAGCTAAGGGTTTCGGATGTACGGTGTCAGAGCGGGAGATCTCTCGGCTGGAAGCTGGCTCTGGTGTTTCAGCGTTTCGGTGTTTAGGGCTCTGGGCGGCCGTCCTGCTTGGCGAGTTGCATCTCCGACTTGTTAGTTCCTGTGGTGTCCCGCTATGGGACTTATGGTATCTGGCTTACTATGGGTTATGCAGGATTTGTACCATCAACCGTATTTCTTTTGGTTCTCTAAGCCCCAAAGCCCCGGTGTTCCCGTTTCCGCTGGTAAGGTCGCGGTGTCCGGCCATCGTCTGTCTCGTTGTCCTGGTCTTTCGGTGTCCCGATGTCCCGGACCAGTATTCAGGCATAGGGCTCGCCTCTTTGTGGAAAGGAAGGCACACACTCCTCTAAGCCGTGGGCTCCACATGAATGGCCCCGACCGTCGAAGGCCACAACCACGCAATATGATACTCTTCTCATACATCGGGGTCCCTTCGTTGGATTCTTTACAGTAGGGATCGTCCTGTTCAGGGTTGAAAAGTGTCCAGATGTTGAGAGACGCAGCATCAGAAGGATCCATCCACTTGAAGTATCAGGGTAGCTTGTAATATATAACTGTATAACGTACCACTGATCTCAGAAAAGCGGGTCCTTTGAATTCCAGTTCTACCATACCGTATGAGTATCCAAACCCGAGACACCCTAAACCCTAAACCCTNNGGACTTAGTAAGTAGGGTTACTATACTTATAACCCCAACTACGGGACTTATAACCTTACTTACTAAGTCCCATGATCCTCCAAGTACCCCTCTTCAACGTGTGCGGGCTCCCAGGGATGTGCCCGAAGACTGAAAAGTCCTTCGTGACGGTCTAGGGTTTGTGGTTTAGGATTGGTTTCGGGTTGCTGGCTTAGGCTTTAGGCTTAAGGGTTTAGGGTTTAGGGTTTAGGGTTTAGGAGGCTCTAAACCCTAACCCGTAAACCCTAAA